CCTGGACGGAAAGGGACCGGCTCCGAGCCTTGCAGCTGAGGGTTAACCTGTAGCAACTGAGGGAGGAGGTGTCCCTGCTCTTTCTGGAGGTGCACCAGAGGCCTCCCCGCGGTGAGAGGTTGAAGCCTGCCCAGAAGGTCGCTGTGGGTGGCGTTAATGCTGTTATTTTTTCTCTCAGTGGAGAGAACATGTCTGGGATCAAGAGAGTGATCGCAGAGAAGGACCCAGACTATGAGGAGATCACCATAACGCATCCCAACAAGCGTCACAAAGCAGCTGAACAGTCAGGTAGGAGCTGTCTAAACTGAAGGGGGTCTCCCGGGTGGAAAATGCTGTGAATGTGCGTGCTGACTGCAAACAGGTCAGGGAGGACTGGGGCAGGATCTAAGGGGTCAGAGGGCAGAAACTGAGCTAGTGGTACCTCTGTATATGAAGAGGTGTTTGTCGTACCTGGAACCATTGCTACCTGCTAGCTGAACTGTAAGTAAAGCCTGAGGGTGCAGGCTTTGGTGCATGATAGCAGCTAGAGCACGAGCTCTCCAGGGCTCCAGTGAGGTGCTTTGGCTTCTGTTGCTTGCTGAAGTATTTTCCAGTGTATCTTATCAGTAGGTGCCGATGCTGAGATATGCTCCAGCCTGGGCATCTGTTCTGCAGTTGAAGTCTGCTTCCAGAAAGATTGGCAATTCGTTTATAGTTTGGAGGACACAGGTCGCAGTACAGCATGTAGGGGGCAGGAGGGGAGAATTCCATGGCCCTGCGGTAGGTAGGCTGGCTCTTGGAAGATGACAAATGTTTGCAAGAGTAGGTGGATGCAGTGAAACGGAGCAGTGCGGAAGGGGTAAGTTAGGGAGAAGGAAGGGGCTCTGAAAGATGCAAGGGAGGAGGAGGAGCAGCTACCCCACTGAAGAAAAGGTGGATAAAGTGTCGTGTTGAGAGTAGCTGGATGAGTAGGTTTGCATTTGGCATGCTCGGGTATGCTTCCTTTCGGAGCAAGTCTGTTGGCAGGGTGCCTGGGACAGGTTGCAGTCGTCTGGGCAAATGAAAGCAGAGCTTCTTGCCCCTGGGACGGGGAGTAGGCTAGCAATTTTTGGCATAGCACAGCTAGTGAGAGGATTGTGGGAAGAGCTGACAAACAGGGAGGTGAGAAAACCGAAGCTGGCTGTGGGATCTGAAGGAGATGCAGGAACAGACCAGGATGCCAGAGCTGCCAGTTGGAGAGGGACAGATGATGGCTTCCTGGATGATGTTTTGGAAAGTGGTGTGCAGCTGGACAAGTCTGAGGAGGCTGAACTCTGGGTTCAGTGAGTTGCTGGGCAGGTCCTGTCTGCCAGGTTGGTTCGGGGCCCTGACAGTGGAGCTGTGCTGGAGCTGGCCATGGCGGAAGAGCATCACCACTCCCAGCTGCCTGCCCTTCCTGCCTGCTAGAGGTCACCACTCTCTGTGGTGGAATGTCCCAGGGACTGCAGACGGGTTTTTAATCCGCTTCTGAAGCAACTTTTCAGAAGGTCTTAATAATTAGTGGGCAAAGCCTCAGGCCTTGGAAGGCTGTCCCTGCCAAAGTGAACTTTCTCTTCAGGTGATTCCTCCAAATTGGGTTCTTTCTTCCTCTCATGGAAGATCTCCAACTTTTGATACAAGAATTCCTTAAGTACACAAATTTAACTAACACGATCTTAATTAGGGACTGGTTGATGCTAAGCTGGGAAAAATACGCAAAGTGTTCTTAAAAGCCTCTGTAATATAACCACATATCCTAAAGTGCTTTAATTGTCATAATGCTGGTGTTGCATGGCATCAGTCCTGAGAGAGATGCAGTTGTCCCCATCTGAACTGTGCATCTCATACCTTAATATGTTTACGTTTATTTTAAGTGTAGACTTGCATGTGAATTTCCTGGGCATGGTCCAGAGGAAAATTAGATTTGTCTGTTTTTTTAATTTTGCATTACTCATACAGATTCAACCAGAGCTTTGCTTTAATGTAGGTTTGAACTATTTCTGGTCCTACTAAGTGTGTGTGTGTGTATATGTGTATATATATATATACACACATGCATCTGGAAATAAGTGAAAAATACTTAGGATACCCCTGTTGCATACAGAAGCATCAGTTGCATTAGTCCTGTTGTAGGTACCTGATCACACAGTAACATTATGTATGCTAGCTGTAACATACCAGCAAAGTTTTGATTTGCTTTTGATTTCTTTACTCTTTCTATTGGGATGTTAGAAACCTCTTCAAACAGATATGTACCCTTTAGTAAAACAAATGCTTCCTCCGAAGCTCAAAACAAAGTCTTGGTGCTGTTTCCCGCTATTCCACGTAGAAACAATGAGATTTTTTTTCAGAGGAACCCAGACTGTTTCTCTGATACGCTTTGCAGTGAGGTCACTGTACTTCTGACACAGGCTGGAGGACTTTTTCCAGGTTTCATCTAGAAGTACAATTCCGGCTTTTACAAGTTCTTGCTTAGAAGCTGATAAAAACAGATGCTGTTTGAAACCCCTTGATATAATGGAGGTCACTTAAGGGAAGGGTAATATTAAAGTCTACGGTAGGTGTAGAGCAAAAGGAATTGTTCTTCCTCTGTTTATATATGTTCTAGAAAAACACAATAAGATGCCAATTTAGTTCTTAGCCACTAACTCGCCACAAGGTATTTGCACAGTTTGAAATACGAAACTAC